CCGCAAAAACCTCGGGAGAAGCCAGCAGCCAATACAAAGCCAAAAAAAGGATAACCAAAGGAGCGGAGCTCAAGTAAGCGAAACGCGAAACGCGAATGAAATGGCAAAAAAAAAAAAAAAAAAAAAATTTATAGATGGTAATGGGCTGATGGCCACCCAATTTGCACTTTAGTTGGCCGCTGACCCGGCGATTGTCACGCATCGAATGCAGCGGCACGTGTCCCCGGGGAAAAGAGGGAGGTAGAGAGGTTTGGGGGGGGTTGGTAAGGGAGGGAGGGAGGTGGGGAGGTAGGGAGGGAGATAGGAAGGGAGGTAGAGAGGGAGCTACAGAGCTTGGCGAGGTGGCTTTGCCAAGGTCGCAAACGTAACAAAATCTGTGTGGTGGCAGAGGGCCACGTCAAGTAGCCGCCATGTGAGCCAATCCCCTGCGAGCTCTCTGCTTCCGCTTCCGTGTGTGTGTGTGTGTGTAGTAGTGCGTGTTTGAGCACGTTAAGTGTATGTGCTTTGAAGTTTTTTATATTTACATACAAATGCGTGTGCCCGGCACTCTACAGAGCCGACCGTACGCCGTATTGTGTTTGCTCTGCGTTTTGTTTTGTTTGCGTTAAACAAAAATCAAAAAAAAAAAAAAAGGAAAGGAAATGGAAATGGAAAAGGAAAAGGAAGGGAGCAAGAAGACTGGCAAAAAGAGAAAACAAACAATACTCTCTCGAAATTCCAAAAGGGGATTTGGCTTTTGCTGGACTAAACCTAAACCCACTGGTCAAGCCTGGTCTTAGGCCAACTTACAACTTAGCATGCCACCTGATTTGTTTCAGGTTGAATATATTATTATATATATTATTAAATATATTATTAAATATAATATATATTGTTAAATATATTATTAAATATTATATATTTCTTCTATATTATTATAATTATAATTTCAATCATTTATTTTCCAATTATTTCTATATATTTACAGCAACAACTACTCAACTACAAACTACAAAATAAAATTCGATGGTGCAGTTTCAACAAAAATGCTATTATTAACGATTTTGTGCTAGAAAACGTGCAGAAAGCAAACAAAAGGCAAAAATGCTAGAGAAAATCGATGATTATTAAAAGCAGGGACCGTAAATAATGATTATCAATAAATTAAATAAATTTAAAAATTAAATAAATATAAAATTTAAAACAATCGAAACTTTAATAAATATGAAATTAAATAAATATTTAAAATTAAATAAATATAAAATTAAATATATATTTAAAATTAAATAAATATAAAAATAAATAAATACAAAAATAAATAAATATAAAAATACATAAATATAAAAATAAATAAATATAAAAATAAATAAATATAAAAATAAATAAATATAAAAATAAATAAATATAAAAATAAATAAATATAAAAATAAATAAATATAAAAATAAATAAATATAAAAATAAATAAATATGAAATTAAATAAATATTTAAAATTAAATAAATATAAAATTAAATAAATATAAAATTAAATAAATATGAAATTAAAAATATATAAAATAAATAAATATATTAAACATTTGATTTTTTTCCCCTTACAACAATTACGGTCCCTGAAAAAAGAAGCAATAAAAAAAGCAGGGTATTCAAGGCAACCCACTTAAAGGTACAGAATGCATATTCAAATGCCACTTGAGACCAGTTTTCCCCCGCCTCTGGCCTGGCCAAGTAACTTGGTAACTATGTAGTTTCGGATGCTTGCGAGAATATTTGTTGGAATGCCCGGGCACAATCCGTGTAACAGAAGTTTTATTAAATTTTCGGCTATTTCGGGGACCAAAAACAAAGAAAGGACCCTGGCAAGGATGCCTGCAGGCGAACAAACTTCTGCTCCATGTGAAAATGCCGAAGGCACAGAGTGTATACATATACAAAACGAAAACAATAAAGAGAAAAAAACGTGAAAAAGTGGACCACTTTCGCCAGAGTCCTGCGCCTTTGAGCCGTTTTGTGTGTGTTGATTTCGTTTCATGTTTGCATTTTCCCTGCTTTCACCGCTTTCACCGCTTTCTCCGCTTTCCCTGCTTTTACCCGCTTTTCTTCTTTGCCAGCTTTTTTTTTTTTTTTTGGGCAAAAGGCGATCAGGGTCAGACTCTGTCCAAACAAATTAGCTTGCTGCTCGCCCCTGGGCTTCGATTTTGCTCAAGGAGCTGGGTGACAGGACATTTTCAAAGGGCTACAAATGGACACGAAATATAGAAATTGCATTTCACTTGAATTTGCTCTGCATAGAAACTGAAAATTGATTCAAAAATTGGACCGGGTAACGACTTATAAATGGAAACATTTATGCCATTTACACGTTTTGTACCTGGGCCATTTTCCAGGTGCTCCTCCCAGCCCCTCTCTCTATTGATTTTGTTGCTATGACCCAAATCCGGAACACACATGGAAAGAGAGAAAGAGAGAGACACCGAGGAGTCCTTGCTGCTCCTCGTAGCATGCATAATTCAAGCGCGCCTTAAAATGTGCTTCAACCATGATTGAAGTGGGGTCTGGTCCCCACCTGCTCCTCGCCAAATTAGTTTATCTTTTGATTTAAATTCCAATTAAGTCTGCCAGTGTTCATTCCTTTGCGTTTTTTTTTTTTGTTTTTCGGTCATATATTTTACATTACATTACATTGGGCCACGGGGCGTATGTGTAATGTGCAGTACTTTTGGTAGGGTGTGTGTGCGGGGTTTTTTTATAGTTAATCTCTATACTTTAGCTTTCTTTTACACGGAAAGTAAGCTTATAAATATAATAGTAAAATAAATATATATAAATTAAATATTATTATAAATATGTCTAGCAAATAAGTAATCTTTGAGGTTTCTTTATATTAATAAAGGGTTTTATAATTTCAGTCAGAAGCTTCTAACTCAGTGAAAGAGTCCTTTCCCACCCTATAAATCATATATATTCTTGATCAGCATCGACAGGCGAAACGTTTTAGACATGTTCGAAGGAAAAGAAAATTTTTAAGAATTTTTAAAACTTTTGCAAGGGGTTACATCATCAAAATTCTCAAAAATTCTCAAAAAATTAAACTTAAAAAACTCTAAAGTTTAGTTTGCAGATTTATTAACCCTATTAAAACGAACACAAAATCGTTTTCCAAATTGAATTTAATGAATATTTGGCTTAGTTATCGATTTTTTAAGTTTTAATTTTACCCAAAAATTATAAAAAAAAAAGTCAACATTTTTTTTAAGTTGTTAAAATTTGTAAACAAAAAAAAGAATAATTTATAAACCTGTAAATTCAGCATGCAGATTTATTAACCCTATAAAAACCAACCCAGAACAGCTTTCCTTATTGAAATCAATGCATTTTTGACTTAATTATGACATTTTAAAGCTTTGATTACCCACGAAAAAGCAATCGATAAATATCGTTTAAAGTCCCTGCTTATATTGAAGATCTTCTTACCGGAATAAGCTTCTTTTCTCATTTTATTTGGAAATAACTATAGATTTATGAACTCACTGCTAGGATTCCTGCAAGTTTTCTTGGGAAACTTACTTGGCCATAAACTCATTTCCCATTTCCCAGCATTTATTTAGGCCAATTTCCCCGGAATCATATAATACCCGCAAAACTGCGTTAACACACACACTGCACAGTGCGAGGGTAAATGCCATTATTTCGAGTGCTCAAAAACTACGCTTCCCCCCGACTGCAAACTGTAGAACAACTTCCGGGTAACCGAGATGCGCAGGACTCGGCAGGAGAAGCACTGCGTGATTATTGCATTCCCACATTCCCGCGTATCCTGTCTGCTTGCTATTGACTATGATTAAGGGTAATTAACGTTTCCATGTTTGCATTCCCGTTAAAGCGTTCTCCACTCGCACATAACACATACGCCATGTGGGACGGCAGAATGGAATCCAGAGGTCTCTCTAGGAGGCTATAATTAAGTCGCCACTTCCCCTCCCAAAAAACACAAACGTCCCGCATACAATTTAATAAGCAAGAGAGAGCAGACGAGCCTTGTAATAAAAATTACCAAATTACTGGCCACAAAAGGCAGTCTGGAAAAATGCGGGACATAAATGCTGGCTTTTACTCTCTGTTTTTCTACAAAAAGGATAACGTCCAACACAGTTGTATTGAAAGTGCAGATATGAATATACTATAAATGAAATTATAATTTATTTTATCCATTCCAGAATCTATTTCAAGTGTTTCAGTTTATAAATTTCCCTTCATAAATATATATATACATTTTTAGAGACCAGAAATATGAGTCAAAGGACATCTTCTTTGCTTAAAAATCAATTATTTTCGCTCACTCTGGTTAATCTAGCTCTTAACCAGTTCGTTAATAAGTACAGGCTTTTAACGCCTAATGCCAAAATTGCTAATACCTTTTATTACTAAGCCCCGCCTCTCTCTCTGTGTGTGTGTGAGTCATAAACCCTAAATGGGTAAATGGGTGAAAATGGGTAAATTCATAGGACCCAGAGAGGTGGTAAGATGTTGTGCCATAACTTTTTCATGGCCGGCGTCTTTAATTGCCGGACCAGGACTAGGGCCAATTCATTGCCGCTCCTTGGCTCCTGGATCCTGGCTGATAGCCTGGCTTTTTTTTTTTTTTTTTGACAGCTTCCGGTTGGGAGAGCTTCGGCTTTCGCCTCCTCTGAACTCCTCTCCCCTTTGGGCTTGTTGCCGGACACTAATCGCTTTGAGGGCTTTGCTTAAATCCAAAAATGATTATGCAAAAATGTGAGAGAGGGTAAGGGAGAGGGAGATAGAGAGAGAGAGAGAGAGAGAGAGAGAGGGAGAGCAGGACGGAGAGAGATGCCATGATATGTAAGCCAAAATAGATCGATAAAACCATATGATATCGATATTGAAAGTAGTATGAAACAGAAAGTGAATCCTAGACATTCTTAGGTAACTAAAGAAAATAAGTACTACTAAAAAGTATCAGCTCAAAGTCGAAGTTAAATTAAAAACAAACAAAAAATTACTTACATATCAATATGGGCGATAAACGATAAGTTGCGATAGTTTATCGGCAAAAGAATATTATAACTGGTCGTTGATTGTGGTAGTTGATTGTGTTTGTTGTTTCCAGCTATAAATACCATTTGAGTTTTGAGTCTAAATTAAATTTAAAAAAAAAATAAACTTATATATATTAATATTTTAAATTAAATATATTTTAAATTATATATAAATTAAAAATAAATTAAGCTCTTGTATTAATGATAGTTTAGCGAAAAAATCAAATTATTACTAAACCGTTTTTTGGGTTCCCTTAAGTTCTAGCTCAAAGCTAAAATTACCCTTTAAAAAATTGTAATAAATAATATAATTATCTATATATTTTCCCATTTATCCTGAAAACCCTGTTTACCAGTCCTTACCTATGGTTTTTTGGGCCAAGGAATAACAAAAACAAAATTGAGAATTAATAAAGAGGACATTATATCAATATAATTTCTTTTCCCCCCTTGAATATGCGGCTTGGAATGTGAACGATTCCTGGTTTTTTCTTAGGAAATCCTGGCCTGGCATCTAGTCATTCTCTTATTATTATTGTTGTTGTTGCTGACACATAATTAAATACAAAATGCGTTTAATTATGAGTGCCGTGTCAGAGAGCCCCTGGGAAATAATGGGGGGAAAACAACAATATCAAGCACAGAAGAGATAGACGCACAGAGAGACGACGCGCGTTGATGCATCGCATTTTAATGATGGCGCTGATGTTGCTTTTGTAGCCATTTTTGCTTTTATTGTTGTTGTAAATGTCCTTGTTGTTGCTGTCCTTGTTGTTGCAATTGCTCTTGTTGCTGCTGCTCCAGTTACGTTCTTAGCTCCTTTGTGACTACCCAAGCCCTGCCTTGTCCTGCCTTTCATGCCTTTCCTGCTGCCTCCCTTTAGATACCCTGTAGCCCTCTATCCTGGCCCAGTGTCCTTACACCCCCCCCCCCACCCCACTCTCTTTAGCAATTTGATTTCAATTTCGACTTTGTTGTTGTTGATTATGTTCCGCAGCGTCTTCTCCTCGGCTGCCGAGTGTTTTCCACAGTCATTTGATTAGTGCAAGGAATCGGGAGGAAGGATAATGAAAATAAATAGCAAAAAGTGTCGATGATGAGATTGCTTTTGTGGTCCATCTGGGGGCGAGCTGTGTGTGTGTGTTTGAAGAATTATTTTCGAGACAATTAAGAGCCTTTGGGATCGAAAAATAACAGACTTTGCCATGAGTTTTATATAAGAAAAAAATGCTACAAAATTTATTTAAGGTTTTTGTTGTTTAAATAAATATTTATAAATAAACAAAAAAGTTATATTTTATATATTAAATATGAATAAAACAGCAACTAAATACAAAACTTGTTTTTTCAAAGTAAAAAAAATATATTTCCGACTAATTTCAAATCCAAAATTAAAACAAAAACAACAACAAATGATGATTCCCTTTGTTTTTGTTGTTGCTCTTATTTACCATAACATTTTGGCTAAAATTAGTCGTTTATTTAATTATAAAAGAATTTTTTTTAAATATAGAATAATATTTTTATGACGCACAGCTTCCCTTTTTTTCACGCTTTTGTTCTCCTCATTTCTATTGTTTTTGTTTATATTTTTTAACTACTAATTTTACATACAAATATTTAATTTCTTGCCTGGCTTACTCTGTGGGTTTTTAATTACACTACACAACACCGCACACACACACAGACCGCAGGACAAAGGCAAAACACATGCGAGGATGAATGCCGTGCCTACCCCGAAAAAAAAAAGAATTAAAGACGAATTTCGGCGCCACTTGGCCGCCATTGTTATGGCGCTAAATTGCAGGACCCCCCCCTCACACTGCCAGCAAGGACACACACACACACACATGCTCCTTGGCCTGCTCTTGTATTTAAACTTTTTGCCTGCCAAGGAGCAGGGCAGAACAGAAATGTCCTGGAACGCCAGCTCGGCTTGGCTTTCATGACTCTGTTGCTCAGAGCCGTCCGTCCCCGCCTGTCACAATGGCAATATGCAAATGTCTGAGGAACCCTTATGGCCTAACCACCACTCTCCCTCTCCCTCTCTCTCTATCTCTCTCTCTTTAGCTTGCTTTCTCCTCCGCACCACGTGACGTATGCGTAACTTTTTAATTTATATTTAAATGTCAGCAAAGCTTCACTCGCCGCAAATAAAATCGTCAAGGCAAGCATGGAGACCAACTGAAAAGGAAATCATTTCCTTCAGCCTGGCAAAACCTTCATTAGAAAAGGCATAATACATACACAAGTCCCAAAGGAGTTGCTTTAATATTTGAAGGAGGATTTTCCTGCATGTGAAAACATGTAAGCTTCTTAAGCAAAATTTCAACTAAAGAAAGGATATTAAAATGCTGCCCAGTAAAGACAAAAGTGAAAGTATATTAAAAAGTTTGCCCAGTACAGACAAAAGTTGACATAAATACAGGTAAACATAAGTAGCAAATATGAATTATTTAACTTTTTCTTAAGACCAGAATTCAAATAAAGAAACAAAATACTAACCCAGCAGACACAAGATGCGGATGGATCCGAGTAATGCCCGCTAAACATATTGAAAACGGATAAAGAAACTAACTTTCCGCATTAGTTTCGCTAAAAGCTTAAAAACGGACGCGCAAACGGATAAATAGCAGACGAGTATCACGAATTCTAATGATGTTGTAAAGGGTTAGCATTTTTTGGCACAAAACCCACTTTATTTTCGTTCATGAGCCTAAATCAGACATTCGCAAAACTATCATTTTCTTATATTGAAAACGATAAACAATGTTTTTGTCTGCTGGGAAATTCTGTTTTACTTTTTTTTTTTGTATTAAATGAATTATTTAGCATAAACTCCTGAGCCCCTCGCTACGCATAGGATGCAATCAAATATTTCTAGACAGCTCACTTTCGGCGACAGGCATAATTTTTGATAGAGTCTCTCCCCGAAGCCAAGGCGGCATATTGATATAGAAATTGGAAGCCGAAAACAATCCAGAGCCCCTGGGAGTGGAAGTGATGGACTAGGAGCTGGAAGGCCAAGGCAATCTAAGCGAAACCGCCTGTCTACTTGGGGGGATGCAGTCAGCTGGAGGAGGAGCAGGAGGAGGTGGTAGATCCCCGGCTGATATGCATGCTCATTCCGTTTACTGGAAGCCCACTTGGGCGGCTGGTGCATATTTCATGGCGCCTCAAATGCCGCACTTAAGCTGACAACATCTCGAGCGGCTGAGGGAGGCGAATGGCAAATACTAGCTGGAGATTGGCCAAGATTGGAGGAGACTGGCGACAGCAGACTGGTGGAGATTGCAGGCCAGGAGGCCACTTGAAGCGGCTGCGTGCCGTGCAAATGCTTAAATTGGCTTAAACACTTTGGAATGCGTTGCCGTCGCCGTCGGGGGAAGCACTTTGGAAAGGAGCCACTTCCTCGCTTATTGAATTACAAGTGGTAAGCAGGGAGTACAAGTATTATTCCCCGTGATCTCTCAATTAGGCAATGGCATTGATGCCGCAGGGATAAGAGGAAAGTTAGTAGGGGAAGTTTAAGCCTAAGACTATTTCAATTCTTTACTTAATAATCTCCATTAAAAAATCCCCAAATTGGGGTAAAAAAGAACACAATTCCCTAAGAGTGTTTTCAAAAAAACTAATCGAGCTGCCGAAATTGAAAGTCAAAAGGATTAGTGACCGGCGAAACAGAAGCAATCAAGGACAACGACGGACCCCGGGAATATTATCGGGTATCGAGAGGATTGCCATCAGGGTCGCCGTGGAATAGAGACCTCTCGCCCCTGTTCAATCAAAGGGAAACTCGATGAACCATTTAAGATTGAAATGCCAGCTTAAGTGGCCAGCAATGCCCCGCGTCCTCCTTCTCGTCCTGGGCCAATCGATTAGGCCAGCCATCGGCATCGATTGTAAAGTGCCACCGGAGGAGCAAAAGCTTAGAGGCGAAAGTTCATTACGAAATCATTCCATCAACAAATTGGCCCCAGACAGCTAACCCGAAAAACTTAAAAAACCAAAAACAAAGAGCCAATAATAAAGGCCAAGGAGAACAAGGCCAATAAATGGAACACAAAGAAACAAAAAGGAGAACAGCAGCAGCAGCAGGACAAACGAAAACAAAAACGAAAAGGAAAACTTTTAAGTACGCTATTAATGTTTAATTCGAGTTATTTAAGTTGGGCACTTAATTTAGCCGGGGCCCAGATGCGACTGGAATGCCGCCCTCCGATATAGTTGGGGCCACACCCTGGCTACTGGCTTCTGGCTAACTGCTCCTCCCTGCTCTTGGCTCCCTGCTCCCTGCTCTCTGCTCCCTAGCTCCCTGCTCTCTGCTCCCTGTCTAACTGCTCCCTGACACCCTTCTCCTCACGATCCTCCCATTCCTATGCGTGACCTTTTCCCATTAAATGTTAATCATAAAATGCTCCTGCCGAAATCCAACAACAATGAAAATTGAACTGCCACGCCCACACTCTTAGGAACAGCCTCCGGCTGGGCCAATGAAGTTGTCTTATAATCCGGTAATTAATTTCTGCGGTCTCCGGCGGGAGCTGGGTGGTGGGTGGTGGGTGGTGGGTGATGAGCACAGGCAAGTCCTCTCTAATGAAAGCCAATGAAAGCGCCCAAGTGACAGGATAACAAATTAATAAACTTTCGGCTGCGGCAACAGCTCGTGAAATGCGACCAGACAGGCCGCTACGGCCCGGTCATTGATCACCGACCGAAGCCGAACTGGTGGACGCCACATGGCCACGGGCATAGACAGTACACGGAGAGAAAAATATGCCAGACTTGAGAAGGGAGGAGATTAATGGAGATGGAGTATTTATTTAATATTTTTGGAATTTATTCTATGAAATTAGGAAATTTTTAGAGCGAGTTGTAAATATTTATGAATTATTTATTAATAAAAATAATTAATTCATAATAATAAATATTTATTATACATTATAATGATAACAAATATAATATATTTATTATTATTATAATGTTTAATATATTAATTAATTCATAATAATAAATATTTATTATACATTATAATGATAACAAATATAATATATTTATTATTATTATAATGTTTAATATATATTTAGTATTATTAAT